CGAACGCGGAGAGCGAGGCCGGGAGCGAGGGGCCCGGGCCGGACGGGACCGAGGGCGGCCGGGCGGGAGCGAGGGGAGCCGAGGCCGGGAGGGCGCGGGGGCGGCGAGGCGGAGTCGTGCGTCCCGGGCGGCGGAAGGACGCGGCTGGAGGCGGAGCGCGAGGCCGGGGACGCGCCGAGTCCAGGCCCCGGCCTCCCGGCCTCCCGGCCTCCCGGCCTCCCGCCGCCCCGGCCTCCCGGCCCCCCGCCGCTCCGGCCTCCCCTGCGTCCGGACTGCGCGTCGGGAGCTGGGAGCGGCGGCCCCGAGACGCGGAGACGCGGGGCGCGCTGCTTGGGGGGCGCTCCGCGTAGGACTCCCGGCTGCTGCGCCCAGGAAATGGAGGGCCCAGAGCAGCAGCCTCCCGGCCCCGAAGCCTGGGGACTGGGCCCCCGGGAGACCTGAGCGCGGGAGCCGGGCCTGGCTGCCCCCAGGGGCGCAGGCGGTGAACCGGGGAGCCCTGAGTTGTGGGCCCCTCGGCGACGGGCGGGACGCGAACCCGTGGCCTGGGCGCGGGCCCTGCCGCCGCTCTTTTCTTCGCTCCCTACACGTCCTCTGGCCCCAGCACCGATGCCTCGGGCGTTTATCCAGGGGAGAGAGCGCCCTCTTCACCTGGGGTTAGTGAACGATGTGCGCCCCGGTGAACGGGAAGGTCAGGGCGGAGTTGGACTGGGGACCGCAGTGCACTAGACCTTCCCGCACTGGCCCATTGGGCGCAGCAGGTTACTTGCGGGTCCCCTTCCCTCTGGGGGAGATGAGCGTCCTGGGCCTTTTCAACGACTATTTGGAATCCTTAGCTTGATTGGGAATTGATGGTTAAGGTGAACATTTCGGTTACCGCTTGGCTCCCCAGCTCCCTGACTCGGTCTGGGCGGGCACCCTGCCACCGCCCTCGCTTGCCCTGAGCATCTTTTCTGGACCGTGGAGACTTCTGCGCATGTTCACAAACGAGCCAGCACCGGCTTGGAACTGCTGGACAGAAACAAGTGGCTAACATGTACATGTTTGAGTGCCTCGTTTAAATGTGAGGTTCTCCCGAGTTCACACAAATATTCAGGTTGTGTTAAAGATGTGCCCTTTTTAAAATTAAAAAATAAATCAGTTATCCCCTCCTCCACTGGCAACACTGTAAACTACACTGAACTTTTATTTATCACCGCTTCAGAAAAATGAAGGTGCTGAATTTACCTGAATGTTGGGCCTCTACCAAAGCACATTTGTCTTGTCCTTTAAAAACTTCACAGCGTAGTTAAGGTTGGAAGTTATTTTGCACAGGAGGGGCACCATGACATTGAAATAGTAATAAACCAGGTTTGCAAGTGTTGTCTAATCTCTTACCTTTTGAATTATGTTTCAGAGGGGAAACTCTTGTCTGGTGATGTGACTCATTACATGATCCCCGATTGGAAAGTTGTTCAAGATTACCTCGAGATCCTGGAGTTTCCTGAATTAAAGGGAATTATTTTCATGCAAACAGCTTGTCAAGCTGTGCAGCATCAAAGAGGCCGGAGGTATCTGTTTTGCATTATTTATTTATGGCGTTGATACACCCCCACACACACCTTTTTTTAGAAAAGATCCTTTGTTGCAGCGGGAGGGGATGCATTTATTATTTTGTCAGAAAATATTTTTTGAACTAATTTAGTATTCTCTTTGCTGGTAGGAATGCAATAACATTATTTTATATTTCTGCTTCAACATCTGTCCAAAAGATCTGACTGTAGATCAATAAGCTACAGTGTCCCCAGTATTGGGTATTTAAGATTCTTGGCTTTTGGTTTACATTTTATAGCAGTTATTGCTTATTTCTTGTTGATAACGCATATTATTTAATCTTATTTATAGATCTATTGTTTCAGATGCTTACTTTTTATTCCCTTGGAGAAAAGTACTTTATTTTTAAATTTTAGACTCCGTTATGGTAGATACAAATCGTATTTGTAGTGATTTATTCAATGAAATCAGAAATTACTTGTTTTATTTTTAGGTTACTAGTATAACTACCAACCATAGTAATTGTATTTGCTAAACAAAGGATTTTTTTATTGAAATCAGTCTAAAATGCTTGCCTTGTACCTTTTAAACAAATGCTCAAAAATTGGTTTTGTTTCAGTTAACATTGGGAAAAGATTTATGATTTGAACTTGAAGCCTCATACTGTATGGAAACAGCATACAGTATTACAAACTATATATCCAGACTCTTAACAGCCCAAGTCATTTAAAAAGCAGAAACTATGCATTTATTCTTTTTTAAATGTTGTAGTTTCTTCAGATCTTGGTCGTAAAAGATGAACTGTGTTTATTTGTATATGAAAATGATAAGTTGTCCTTATTATATGCTCAGTTCCAAAAAATATGCATTAACTAGATTGTGTGCAGGTTTTTCAGACAGAATATTTTTAAATGAGCTTGAAGTTGATTTTGTTCAGACAGAAAGATATAGATGTTTATACACATTCAGATTTAAATGCTGCTCTAGGTGTCGTATTTCAATTTCTGCTACTCAAATCAATTTGTTGTTATCATTCAGATTGCTAACACACTGCAGAGCCTTTTCAGCTTCTGTTTTCTAAAGTATTTTTAATATTAAGGATTGTTTTTAAAACCAATTGCTGGGACATTAAAAAACAAAGAATTGGGATTTAAATGTCTTTTCTCCTGAACATTTCAAAAGTAGTTAACTTGATGAAAAACTATTGGTTTTCCATCGCTTTACCATGTCTATGAATATACTAAATGTGAAAACAAAAGATGAGTTATGAAGTAGGCCATAAGATAATACCCTGGTTTTCCCATTTGGTAAGCATTTTTTGAGCCCCTAGTTTCAGGCCTTCTGGAGTAGTACAAAGTCTTAGTTCCTTTCTCAGCAGACCTATTGTCTTGTTGGGGTCGGATGCAAGAAGCAAGAAGGTAATTATGACACACCTTAGACACAGGTGGGATAATTTAATGTGGACTATACAAAGTGCAGAAGTATATATGGGGTGTGGGGATTAAGCTACAAAGTCCTCTGAAAGGGTTAGCAGTGATGGCGAAGCTATGACACATGTGTCAAAGGTGACACACATGTCAGGGGTGACATGCGAACTCATTTTTTTTTTGTTGATTTTTCTTTGTTAAATGGTATTTAAATATATAAAATAAATATCAAAAATATAAGTCTTTGTTTTACTATGGTTGCAAATATCAAAAAATTTCTATATGTGACACGGCACCAGAGTTAAGTTAGGGTTTTTCAAAATGCTGACACGCCGAGCTCAAAAGGTTCGCCATGACTGGGTTAGAGACTGGTCTTAAAGGAGGGATAATGAACATGATTGACGTCGAGAAAAAAGAGGCAGGAAAGGAATCAGCAAGTTTGGGACTTGGTGCTTTGTTTATCTGTTAAGCAACCAGCTGGTGTATGCAGATTGACATAGCTAAATGACCTAAGCCCTAGAAAGTGTCATATGTTGAAAGCTAACTTTAGAATTGATGATAGCTGTTGAATAGATAACATCCAGGAGTTTGCTTTATTAATCTGGCATTCATAAGTGTTCAAAATGGCCTGTTTCATTAGTATATTGTACAAAAGTGTAAGTCATTTCACTTTTTATATTTAACCAAATGTGGCCTAGCGGAAGCTCTGTGGTGTTTGCTTCGTTTAATGTTGGGAAACATTTTGTTTTTCAGTTCTTCCTTGGAAATTTTTGAGATGCTGGTAAATAATTTTTTATATGCTTTTAGGAACAGTATTGCTTAGGAAAGCTTTGTCAGTTAAAAATACCTGCTCTGGCTAGAGCCGGTTTGGCTCAGTGGCTAGTGTTAGGTCTCCGAAGGAGGAATGCACGAGGCCAGAGTGGTGAGGGATTACGAATTTATTTGATCATCCGCATACCAGGTGGCTGAGCCTGGATGGCTCCAGCACCCAGTGAAGGGAGTCAGCGGCTTTTAAAGGACCTTTGGCAGGATTTTTCTGGGTGGAGACTTCTTTATGCATACCCCCAGGGGAGAGAATGGCATGTGGTCACTGCAAGTGTAAAGTGGTCTCAGCAAAGAGAATGTCCATAGTGAAATGACCTGAAAAGCCAGTTCCTGGGGGAAGGGTATCAACTCAATTGCTCCATCAAACCTAACAGTTAGAGTGTCAGCCTGCAGACTGAAGAGTCCTGGGTGGATTCCAGTCAAGGGCAGGTACCTCAGTTGCAGGCTTGATCCCGGGCCCAGGGTGTGCATGCGGGAGGCAACCAGTCAATGTGTTCTCTCTCTGTCTCTCCCCCTCCCTTCTACTCTATTAAAAAAAAAAAAATCAATGGAAAATATCCTCGGGTGAGGATTAACAAAAAATAAAATAAAAGTCCTGCTCTGGTCTAGTGTCTAGTTTAAGGATGCCTTGCTTTCTCTTTTTGACCCCCCTTTCTGATTTCTTCTGTATAGCTTCAGAGTCTCAATAGTTCGTGCCTAGTTCCTCAATATATATCATAAGATAGGGATCATGGACTATTATAGTCAAAGAGGATCTAAGAGGCCAATATGATCTATCCCCATCCAATACATCAGTGTTACTCAACATGAGTAATATCACTGACTTTGTTTCTAAAAGAAAACATTTCTCATGGACACACAGTGTTAATTTAAATTATTTTGTTGTATTACTATTTAAATATCTTTAAACATAAAGCTAGGTGTAAGTCCTCATGCTTAAGTACTTAATACAACACTAAGACCAAATAGAGCCCTAGCCAGTTTGGCTCAGTGGATAGAGCATCTACCTGTGGACCAAAGGGTCCTGGGTTTGATTCTGGTCTAGAGCACATACCTTGGTTGCAGGCACCTCCCTGGCCCAGGCCCTCCCTGGTCGGCTTGTGCAGGAGGCAACCAATTGATGTGTTTCTCTGTGTCTTTTCCTCTCTCTTCCACTCTCACTAAAAATCAATGGAAAAATATGCTAGGGCGAGGATTAACAAAACAAAACAAAACAAAACAAAACAAAAAATCAAACCTTCAAATTCAATAAACAAAACTGTAAAATCAGAAAACTGCAAATGAACATTAATTTAATGTGACAGATGACATTAATTTACTGAAGTGAAATTACCAGAGTTGGAGAGAGACATAGCTCTAATCTGCTCCTATATTTAATATGACTTTGGGGTTTTTTTATTTAAATAATATTGATGCAGAAAAATGGCCTGGTCTCATTAGTATATTATACAAAACAGTATGAAAAGTTAAGGTTTTGATTGTTCAGGATAATCACACATTGTGCCATCTAACAATCCTCAAATGACTATTTAATGAGGCGTTTCTTGATAACTCTGTAAGGCTGTCTTGTTGACCACATTCATTCACAGGTGTTTGTTTTTTTATTCAACAAATCTTTATTGAAAGACTGTAGGTTCCAGAAACTGCCAGCACTGAGGACACAGTAGTGAACAAAAGTGGATATGATCTTGAGGGGAACAGGCAGAATCAGGTAAACAGATGGAGAACTGCAGCTGTGACAGGTGCACTGAAGGCCAGGTACAGGGCTCCAGGAGAGCCGGAAGTCATCAGGGAGACGGGAAAGGCTTTCCTGAGGGCGGTGCCTCTACTGAGCTCTGAGGGATGAGTGGGTATAAACCAGAGAAAAGCTTCCCAGGTGAGGAAACTGCTGTGCAAGGTCATAGGGAAGGGCATGCTGCTCAAGGAACATAAAGAAGGCCCTGGATTGGATGATAGACCTCGGGGCCTCAGGGATGTCAGTGAAGGGTCTTAAGCAGGGTGAAACGACATAATTAGATTGCTGTTTTGAAAAGATGCCAGGGCCAGTGGAGAAAAGGCAGGCAGAAGACAGGAGGCTGTTGCTTTAGTTCAGACGAGATATGTTGGTAGCTTAGAGATGGAGAGAAATAGACATTTCAAATAGCTACTTAGTAGGTAAAATCTATAGAACTTCCTAAGCATGTGACCAAGAGAATTGAAAACATGTCCACGCAAAAACTTGTACATGAATGTTCATAGCAGCTCTATTTATATTAGCCAAAAAAATGGAAAAACCCAAATGTCTATCAATTGCTGAATGGTTACATAAAATGTGGTTTATTCATGCAAAGAAATATTAGTCAGCCATAAAAAGGGATGAAGAACTGGTACATGCCACAACTAGATGAACCATGAAAATATTATTCTAAGTGAAAGAAACTAACCACACAGAAAAATTATATAGTGTATGATTCTACTTATATAAAATGTCAGAATAGGTAAATCCAAGAAACAGAAAGTAGATTAGTTAGGTTGCCAGAGGCTGGGGGTCAGGGGAAATGGAGAATGACTGCTTAATGGGTATTTTTCTTTTGAAGGTGATGAAATGTTCTGGAATTAGATCGTGGGCATGGTTACATAACTCAGTGACTATACTAAAAACCATTGAAATGAACATTTTAAAGGGTGAATTTTATGGTATGTGAATTATATCTCAATAAAGCTGTTACTTTTTAAAAAAAAAAAAAACCTGTAGAACTTAGTATGGATTTAGATAAGTGAGGTGAGGAAGAAGGTGGTGTCAAGGATAACGCTAAGCTTTCTGGCTTATGTAAGTGGATGGAGAGAGGATGCACCCAACGAGGTCTGAGGGGGAGGGGCAGAGAAAGGTCTTGAGTTTGAAGTGTCTGAGGCTGCCAGGAGGGCAGGCGCTGACCACAAAGGGCACTGTAGTTAGAAGGCAGTCATTCAGCTGGTCCAAAAGATACTCTGTTAGAAATGTTTTAAGAGTATCACCTAATATAAATGGAAACATAAAATTCTTGTAGAAAACTCAAGGACCTTTGAAAGTAAGTCTACTAGTCCCTACCAAGGTTCTGGGGAAACTGGTTGAAGAAACACAATGCTGAATGCACAACTCACTTCCCCACTGATTGTGGGACACCCACTTCTAATCCCCAGAGAGTATAGTCAGCAGGGGGATGGGATGAAGGGATGTTGCATCTGTGAGATCACCTTGAATAAAAATAGTAAAAAAAAAAAAAAAAAATCAATTTAAAGAAGGTAAGTTCAGCCCCACTAAGAAATTGTTTGAAATGTTTTTGATAATAGAGATTTGGAAAACACTGAAGCCAGTCCAAGGAAACTAGGGGTTTTCTGTAAGACTGGAATTTTTAAAACTTAAGATAATTTAATTGTACTTCATTGTCTAAAACTATTATTCTCCGATCATTCAGGCCAAACTTGTTCAAGGCACTATGGATGTTCTTTGTTGGTTCCATGCAAGTTTCTCAATTCTACTAGTATAATATGCACCGCCAACCCTGACTAGCAAAAAAAAATGACTGTATTGTATGTGTGCACTATTAAATTATAACCATGAGCCCTCATGCCTACAAGAAAATCCAAATGTCACACTCAGAGTGATTCCCTGTTTCTCTCCTGCTTTCCCCGTTGATAGTCTTGTGCCATTTGTTTATTTGTTTTATCCAGCTGATAGGTAGTTGACAAATGGAAGCACACTCAAAATCTAAGGAAAATATAAGGGGATGAAACTTAAAATTGAGGAAATTCTTTTTTAAGTTATGTAATTTTCTAAACATTAGGAAGAATTATCTTTCTTCTCATTTGGTGCTAAACCCCCTGGATCTGGCTTGTAGAACAAGAACATCAGTATTTGGGAAGGACAGGATTTGAGAATACCTGGGTCAGAAATGCAGTGGCGGCTGGAGCCATCCAAGCTCAGCCACCTGGTGTGCGAATGATCGAATAAATTTGTAATCCCTCACCAAAAAAAAAAAAAAAAATGCAGTGGCACAACAAATGCTGTGTTGTGTAGGAAGCCTAGCAAAAGAGTAACTGGGTTCTGAGGAGGTCAGTTTCTTCTGAGGAATATCCTGTATTTGGATCACTGTTGTCACACAGAGGTTGTGAGTTCATTGATTCGTTTGGAAAACGTTTATTGAGCACCTGTTTTGGATTAAGCACTGAAGATACAAAGATGAACCAGACTGTCTGCTGTCTTGAGCATCAATACCCTCTCTCCTCCCTTGGGCCCTTTGTCTGGCTAACTCCCATTCATCCTTCAGGACTCCAGTGTTGCCTCCTCCCAGATGCCTTCCCCATCCCTCTCGTGTTCTTGTCACACCCCAAACTTTGCCTTTCATGGCACTTGTCCCACTAAAATGGGCAGTTCTGGTTTTTGTTTTATTTTGTTTTACCAATTAGTATAGCTATTTTTAAAAATTGTGGTAAAATATATATAACATAACATTTGCCATTTAAAAGTGTACAGTTCAGTGACATTGAGTGCATTCCTGTTATCAACCAGTCTCCAGAACTTATTTCATCTTCCCAGACTGAAACTCTACCCCCATTAATCACTAACTTCCCACTCTTCCCTTCCCCATCCCGTGGCAACCACTATTCTACTTCCTGTCTGTAAGTTGACTACTCAAGGAAATTCATATAAGCAGACTCATACAGCACTTTTGTGCCAGGCTTATTTCACTCGACATCATGTCTTCAAGCTTCATCCATGTTATAGCATGTACCAGAACTTCCTTTTTAAGGTTGAATGATATCCCATGGTACATACAGATATATAGCACCTTCTGGTTTTTCCATTTACCTGTCAAAGGACACTTAGGTTGCTTCCAGTTTTGGGCTATTGTGAGTAACGCTGCTTTGAACAGGGGTGTACTAATATCTTTTGAGACCCTGCTTTCAATTCTTCGGGGTCTCAACCCAGAAGTGGGATTGCTGGGTCTTTTGGTAGTTCTCGTTTTTATTTTTATTTTATTTCATTTCTTTTTTTTTTTTTTTTTTTTTTTTGAGGATGGGGTGGTTCTGTTGGGTTTACCATGAGCAGGACTGCTTCAGACAAAGGACAGCAGTGAGATGTCTGGGTGGCGGCCCCTGAGGGCATGCAGTGGAGCAAAAGACTTGGCACATGGAAGAGAGCAGCAAAAATTTGCTGGATGAAGGATGTTGAATAAGGGGGATGATTTGTAAACAAATAATTACACTAAGTTCAGGTGCTTTATTGGGAGTGTATAAAATGTGACGGTAGATAAAGGGAACACAAACTATGAAGGATATGATCAGGAAAAATGGGCAGTATGTTTTTGGTGTTTCCTCTGAAATAATAAATTGTAGATGTTTATGAAGCCTCTTCTAAAATATTTCTTATTGCTTAACAAATAAATGCTGATTTGAAAAAATTCATGCATGACAGAAATGTGTAAAGCAGAAAGTAAAAGTCTTGGCCTCACCAGTCTGCAGGGATGATCACTGTTGACAGGTGGTGTAGACTCTTCTGTGCATAATCTAAGAGGTTTTAAAAATGATTTTCAGTGTATCTGTGAACATGGGAAAGTTACCGATTTAGTGGGTTCTAGGCATTTTGGGGTGGGGCAGCTTTTTCTGCACAGTGGGATCTGTTAAGGAAAGCTGCCATCCACAGAAGTGAAAATCAATCCCTTTGTTTATTAGGGAATTATAAGTTGTATTATTTGATGATTCAAATAATGTTTTTTATGTTGGCTCAGTTTTAGATTACTAAGAAAAGAAAATCAGTGTTTCTTGTTTTCTAATGAAATGTTAAGGCCACGCAGATAATGGTGGTTAGCATTTATTTGGAGAGTTCTGCCTTTGCTTTCATGAAAAGACTAATTTCTTAAAAACCCATGGTGGCAACCTGGTGGTGGGAATGGAAGGGCACAAATTTTATTATACTAAATAATAATAAGGCATCGACCTTGGATAATTTTTATGCTAATTTAATATCTGGTTTAATATCAATCTCTTTTTAAATAAACATTGTCTTCCTGAGAAATAACTAAATATTCTGTAGTCCACATTACCCAGACTATTGAAAAGCACCTTCTCAGAAATTGACCCATAGAAGACCTCATATTTGATTTGTGACTTGGACTAACGTTGGAAGGATCTCCTGATGGGAAACCTTAAAACTCTCTGTTAGTTCTCTGACAGGTGAAGCTGGCCTCACTCATGTAAATGACGTGGCTGCATAAATAAAATTTACAGATAAATCCCCATACTTAGTTTTCTAGGGCTGCCAGCAAAAAGTAAAAGGTACTAATGCCTAATGCCACTTAGAGAACAAAGTGAGGTACAAAAGTAAAGTGCAAAAGTCTGCTGGCCTGTGTCCTCCATGAGCCTTTGAAGTGGGGGCTCTGTGGGGCAGCGTCATATAATTACATAATAAATGGCCAGAAGTCCCAGAAGGAGGAAGAGGTTTAGAGGGGCTGGATTGATCCACAGACTAATTAATGAGGCCCTGCCCAGGCACATTCTAGCAGACAGAAATTGAGAAAGAGAAGCCCAATGATACTGTGCACACTAAGGCCAATATTAAATAAATGGTTCTCAGGTTTTAAATGATCCATCTTTTTCTCTAAACTGTCTCATCTTTTTTGATCCTTAGCAAGAGCTGGCAGTAGATGAGTACCTGCTGTGTTAGATTTATTTTTCTCCTCTGTGTCACAGACAGTATAATAAATTGCGAAACCTCCTGAAGGATGCGCGTCATGATTGCGTTCTCTTTGCTAATGAATTCCAGCAATACTGCTATCTCCCTCGGGAAAGAGGAGAATCCATGGAAAAGTGGCAGACCAGGTATGGCACTGAATTGCTGTGAGTGTTCATATGATCTTCTGTAATTTCTTTATCGTTGGCTATTTGGGCATTAAGCGGTATGCTAAAATCAACAATTATTCTGGAACCATGATTAATGTTGAACTGCTTACCATGTCAATATTTTAGATATGTCAGTTGAATACCTAATTGATCTATTTTAGAAGTTACAATTAGGGAGGTTATACCCAGAGTAAGTTTGCCCCAGACCTTAATAGCTAGCAGAGTCATTCCAGTGATCCAAACATCATCACTTTAATGCTTGTGTGTGGGAAGACGGGGAGTCCTACTCTTAAGCTAAGATCTCAGTTTTTCTGGCATAGCTCTATTATCCCAGCTAGTCTTATTAAGCTGAAACTGGCAGGTTAATTCCAGTAGATCTGTTCCAGGAAGAGCCGTGTCATAGTTTAGATCCACCTAAAAGCAGAGCCTGAAGCAAGGACTTGGTGTGAGTTGTTTACTTCTGAGGCAATTCCCATAAGCAGGACTGAGGAAGTAGGGAGAGTGAGACAGAGAAGGAGGGAACGCAGGAAAGGATGTGTTAATGCGGTGGAGACTGAGGCTCCGTCCTGCTGGGATCCTCTGAGAAGCTGAGTAGCGTGTACCTAAGAAGTTACCTCGAAGGTCGGAGGCTAGGGCTTTGAGTTAGTGCCCCCTTTAGCTTTTTAAGATATGCTTTTTCATTTATTTTTAGAGAGAAAGGAAGGGGGAGAGAGAAACATCCATCCGTTGCCGCCCATATCCGCCCTGACCCGAATTGAACCTGTAACCGAGGTATGTGTCCTGATCCGGAATCAAACCCGTAACCTTTTGGTGTATGGGAGGACGCTCCAAGCAACTGAGCCACCCAGCCGGGGCTTGTTTTATCGTTTAAGCCTCACATAGCTTGTCATCCATGTGGTGCTGTGTCACTCAGCCCTCTAATTAAAAAGTGTTAACAGATGGCAGAACCTCATAGGATTTAGGCCGGATGAGGAAATGAAAGAGATTGGAGTGGTGGCTGGATGTCGTAGGGAAAAGAGATGTCAAGCACTTTTTGATTCATCTTTGTGTCCCCCAGAGTACCCAACCCGGGGTGTATTTATAATGGTGTTCAGGAAGTATTTGTTGAGTGGATAGTTCGCTGTATAAACCAAAGGATAGCAGATCAAAAGTAAGATATAAAATTCTGAGTAAGAGCTTGTGTTTGAGGGCTCACCTGCCCTTTGCTTTTCTAGGAGCATATACAATGCAGCCGTTTGGTACTATCACCACTGCCAGGACAGGATGCCCATCATTATGGTGACAGAAGATGAAGAGGCGGTTCCACAGTATGGAAGTGAAACAGAAGGAGTGTTTGTGATTTCTTTCAAGGTATTTCCAGCTGGTGTGTGTGTGTGTGTGTATGTGTGT